AAACTCTGCTGTTGTACGTTTCGAATCTCCCAGTTCAAAATCAAACTTTCAAAAAACCTATATTTATATGTGAAATTTTGATCAAAACTTGTTTTTTTTTTGATAAACTGCATGCGTAATTTGCTCATTTTATTGTTGATTTATGGACCCTAAAAGTTCAATTTAATAACTCTAAATCGGGCTTGGCGACATTTTAGTTTTATGTAAGTACGTATTCTAAATCAGTATCCAAATTTATCCGAGTGTCTCTTTCTGCGGAAAACGAAGGTAAAAATTTTGGATTGAAAAATTTTGCACGTCTAAAAGTTTAGATTCTTAGTGATCTGCATTCTCGATGAAGACTCGTTTTTGGGGAAAAGCGTATAAGTCGATAAATGATTCTGGTGTGAATTTTTCGCTGTGATAGACGAAGGGCACTTAAAGATTCACCTAACCTCCTGAAAACAGGGTTTCGCAACACTTACCATTTTTTTATCGAAATCAGCATTCAAAACTACACAATGCACTGAATTTCATACGCTTGTAACGACGAGAATCGGAGATAATGATAATGCGATAAGAAGTTTAAATAGTTCACAGAAGAACATTTTCAAGAATGCTTTTGTAACAGTAACGTCAAAAAATCTTTGGCAAGGTGGTCTCCTTGTAGTGTCTGGGATTTGATGTGCATCCCTGAAACTTTGCAAAAAATGGCTTAAAATTTTGTCACTGTTTTTGATATTTAACATAATAAACCCAAAAATCGTATTAACTTATTCCAAAAAAATGCAATCTCAATGAGCGCATCAGAATGAAATGAATACTGATTTTAAGCGCTACAGTGCTATCGTCTCCTGAATGCTTCTAACACCCTTTTCACCTCTTACATAGCCGAATTTCTAAACAAATTTAGTACAAATAATATTTTGGCAACATAAGGTTAAGTGGTCGAGTAACCAGCTGGCTTAGCTTCGCGCTGCAGTGTGGATTAGTCAATGAAGGTATTATTATATAACACCTAAAAGTGTATATACCAGTTTATTCTATGTTTATAACATACGAGGTCTGTAAATTAAGCGACAAAACGGATTTTTAAAAAAAAAATTTATTCAATTATAATTTCGATCTTATATTATCACCATCAACATTACTTGCTTCTGAAACGACACAGCTCTGGATACGGTTCTTCCACTGCTCATAGCAGTGTTGGAACCCCGATACTGGAATAGCCTTCAGCTGGTCGGCTACAGCCGTTTGAATGCTTTTGACTGTCCCAAAATGAGTTCCATTGAGATGACTTTTCAACTTCGGGAAGAGAAAAAGTCTCAACGGCTCAAGTCAGGCGGAGGAGGCTGAGGAGCCACAGGAATTTTTTTAATCAAATTTAACTCTTCCTCGAACACTCTGACTGTCGAGCGATGATATGATCTGAACGCACAAGATATCGGACAGCAGAAAGTAATTTATACCATTGATTAAAGTGACCTGAAGATAACCAACCTATTACTATACTTCACTTAATAACATCAACTTTCAATTTTTTTCCACCCAATGTGACATCAGTTCTGCAACCAATGGACCAGGGTGTCATTTGGAGTCTTAAACAAATGTATCGGAAACATATGTTGATGAAAATTATGGAGCTTCAAGATGTCAACATTACCAAAGCTGTCACCATTTTAGATGCTATAAATTTGCTTACTATTGCATGGGAATTGGTTACTCCAGAAACGATTCGTTATTGTTTTCGCCATGCTGATTCAGTGAAAAATATAACTGAAACAGTCAACGATTTTAATCCAGAAGATGAAATTCCATTAATTGATTTACTGAAAATTAATAATTTACTGAATATAGACAAATTTAATGAGTATGTAAATGTTGACAATAATTTAGTAGCAACACAGGAACTGTCAGACTCCAATTTGGTTAATGAAGGATCCGTTGATAACGAACAGGAAGACGAACTAGAAAACAACGATGAAGAAGAGCTTCCATTGACAACTGAGGAGCCATTAGACTGTGTGAAAAAGTTGCAACCTTATTTTTAGAAAGCAGAAGACAGTACAGCCACACTTACCAAAATAAATAAAATTCATCTTGCTGTTCTAAATAATTATACAAAGAAACAATCTGTTCAAATAAAAAAAATTTTACCAATTAATTTACGGTTTTTACACATACCTATACAGTACTTATGCCTGTAATATGTGTATCAGATTCTGGAAAAATGCAAATTTCAAAATTACGTATAACTTTTTTGTGTGTATCTGTATTTATGCAAACAAACACATTTTTAGCTTATATGTTGTTTCTGCTGCTGTCATTAAAAAAAGTGTTTCCTTTAAGATGGTCATCCTCCTATAATAGACTATTTGTCACAGTCCCGCCGAGTCCATTATAAGCGGGTTGCACTATATATATATATATATATATATATATATATGGCTATAGTATCTTCAGGTAGAATATGTTAATCAATGTTTATTAATATATGGTTTAATTTGGCCAGAATATGATGGAGTTGTGTCACATTTTCAACATAATCAAGGTGTTATAATAATTATCTTCTTTGGTTATCCTAACGTTCTAAGGCGTGATCGAATCAAACGGCGTCACTCACCACTCGCCTCAAGGCATGCCCAACGTTGCGGTCGAAATTTCGAGGTTAAGCAGGGAGAGGCCTTCGTAATGATGGGTTCTCTACACAAAGCCAGTTTTTAATGGCTTCCCTTGCGCTGGCAACAAAAGGTTTCTTGCAGGGGCGACGCAGCATTAGGGACGTACGTACTGCTTTAGTGCAAGTTTGGTGTTTGGTTCGATCGCTTCTGGCGGTTTGCAGTGCGCGAATGTTTTTTATTCTTAATCTGTTTTGTTTTTAGAGAAGATAGTGAGATCGTGCGTGCAACGCGGCTGGCATGAGCATTAGTGAAGCTAAAAGTTATAAAATTCACAGAAAACTATTTTTTTCTCTTTAATTGATTCAAATTATTTACGTTTACATTCTATTGACACTGTTTTCCATTTATTTGTATCCTCTTTTATCGGACATTAGGAAAAGTCTGTTTAAGGGCCATATCGTCAGTCGTTTCTTCAATAACTGTAGGATGCCTTTATGGCTGGATTTTCATAGTATTTTCTATACTTCAGAACGGCTAGGCTATTTCTAGATTTCTCCTATAAAACAGATGACAAAAATCAAGTTTCATCAACCTGAATTTTCTTAAGATGCAAAAGGAAAATATTACAAGAATAGAGCGCTGGCACGGAACAGCAGAATTTTAGAAGTTACCCTGCCTTTCTGGAGGACAGGAAAAACAATGAAAATCAAGGAGATCATAAAAGCGTCCTAAAATTGTAGGAACGACTGACGATACTGCCCTTAGATTTCGTTTTAACATCCTTGGCGTCTGTCCTCCAAATTTCATAGACGGATATTCTTTTCTGATCAGAATAAGTTGTAGCTAAATGCCAGATCGCATTCATTTGTCTTTATTAGTTATGGTGGGAGTGAAGTTTGAATGTGTTTTGTGATGTGGTAGAAAACGAGATCCATCCAAAGGATATCTTGAAGAAGTTGAAGCAGTATTTCGTTACTGCGAAGCTACACTAACTTTGAAGAACGAAACTATAAGAAATGGAACTTACCAAAAATACAGCTAAACCTTCTATATTCTTTGAAAATATATATATTACATTAAGGAGCTGCTTGGGTTTGGTCATAATTAGTTCAAATGTCTAATTTTCATATCTTGAACGAATTGAGTTGACGCATATTTATGTGAAGTTTGAATGAAATCCGCAGCTTAGTTCCTGATATAATCCTTATAGCATTTATGCGGTCTCTTATGAGAAGCATGATATTTTCCCGTATTATTTGAATTTTCATTAGAAACAAGTTTCATTCAACTTAAAAGGCGTTAAAACGTCACCTAAAGAATTAAAGATGTTTTTGAAATAGTTGGCCCAAAATGCGATGAATCCATAGTTTCCTATTACGACGCGTAAGCGGTCAATACTTTATTTAGTTTTTGAAACAGGTATGAATTCATTATGAATCTATGGTTCGGAATGGAAACTAAGACTGGTTCACGCGCAGACCGATTCTGTTGCTGCTAGGCGTGTTATATGTGATAATATGGCCTGCGGTTGAAGACAAATTTTATGACTCATTGTCACGCTTGCACAACCTAAAGAAGATTAAATGTGAGTTCAGGACTGCTATTATTGATGAAAACCCATGAATTGACGTTGATAACTTCATTCCGTAACTAATGGTGTATACATTAAAAATTGGTACACATCACATGACTCATAATAGCAATAATTCAAAAAATCCTCCTGAGCAATATTTTTCATTGAACTTTTTTTTTTAGGATCTCACTATTGATTATAAAATCTGTACTGAGTACTAAGTCTAAATTCCCGCGGTTCTATTGGTCAGCTGATCATAAAAGGTTAGAAGACAGCGACAAGTGAATTTAGGCGGGTTGCAGGCATTGCGGCGTTCGAAGCTGTCTGATTTTTTATGTTTGCAATCCTATTCTGCAAGCATCACCCTGTATACATGATTTCCATGCAACGAGTGTAATTCATTCGCACCAGATTTATAGTGTTAACCAATAGGCGTGTAAGAACCAATAACTGTTATTATGACTTCATTGCAGTTGTTATATATACGAATGTATGTATTATGCATACACGGTATTATACAAACATGGTTCACTATTTGTTCTTGCGTGTTACCTAATTGTTATTGTTCGATCTTGAATTCAAATATAATGCTTGTTTTTTTTCAACTGCATTGGTTTGTTTTTAAATATTGTTTGCCACTGATCGAACTTACACTCTTGTTTTATGTATTTAATGTACAGTGATAGTTATCGTAAAATTTAAAGAAACAACATATGTTTATATGCTTATCAATACTTTCGAGGTTATTACCGAGAATAACAATCAACAATAGCAAACTAAATAACCGTCGTTTGACGCATTATCAACATGCTGAATCAAAATTAATAATGACACCAGCATGGGAAATAGCGCGGAGTTCTAAAACGGAAGTAAATACTTCTGTTACTTAAGAAGCACTATGTTTTTGCTACATAAGGTGAGGAATACGGAATATCCTTCTTCCAAGCCTATTATGTAATTTAGATAAAACAAATTTTTGCGGACGTTTCTTCTTAAAAGATGCACCCACGGCAAAAATCTAAGAGCACTAGATTTGGCAAGTACGAAAACTGGTTATTTACTAATATCCAAAATGATGCGAACACTAGCAGACGCTTCAGTTATTGAGAAGAATACTTTTTTGTTGCTTGATATATCAAGTGCCTTCATGAATGCAAGAATGCAGTTAATTTCATCTGTTGTTCCTTGTTTATAGATTCTATGTATCATTGCTCTCAATTGTTCAAGGCACTTCTTCCTTGAAAGAGTAATTAGTAATTTCATCGGCAATATAAATAATTTCGCTACCTGGGCGGTGAAATAATGAAAATCTTATAAAAAGAAACAATTAAATCTTGCACCGTTAATTAAAATCTGAAGCCTCCGTCGGAAAATGTCACAGCTTATGATCCATGAATTATGCATTCCGGTAATTGAATAAGTATCATTATATGAGCCATTTATTCCATGCTTTGTTGCTGTACCACGTTAATTAACGAGCAAGATTAAAAGATTAATTACGCGATTGCGATGTTCATATTTATAAATAAAATCCAAGATGGCGGTGTAAGATGACCTAGTTGTTGCATGTTTGACTATGCGTGAGGGGTTTTATTAATTCAAACTGTATTTTTATATTTATCAAAGAATTTTAAATTTTTTAGCAATAGCATTGCTGACTTGTGTGTGTAAAATGATGTTTTATCTGTTAATTTGGCCATCGCCAATGGTGCGCGTCTGTTACAAACTCTCTGAAATACAGGTATAGAGTTTTCTTCCGATAAAACCGGCGCAGTTTCCATCTTTGAAAGTATTTTTTTTACTTGACCTACCATACAGGTTTCAAGCCTGAATACATAAACATGAAACCTGTCGTGGGGCTATAGGGGGGTACAAGAGAAGGGGGCACACGCACTCAAAAGAACATAAAACATTTGTCATTTCCTGTCGCGTGCTATCATCTGTCAATCGTTTTTTTTTCATTTCGTTGCCCTTCTACTATGCTGCTACGGTAAAATTTTCGAAAAAGAGACGAGAAAACTTTGGGCAAACTGGACTTAAAAAAATGGATGCAGTGTCACAAGTAAAAGTTGTGAAACGTGGCACTTCAATACACTAGTAATAGCTCCTGCAGCCGTATGTCAGCAGTAAGTGCAAAACTAGTTCAAATTATGGACTACAGGAGCAACACTAGCTTCACCAAATGCAAAAGGCTAGAAATTTCAACGGCTTTCATGTATTTTTGAGGAAGATTACCGTACAAACTTACAATATCATTTTGTATGCGTGTAGCATTGTAGATTAATTTTGGTATTCTTTATTCAAAGCTATGACTAAAGTAAGACATGTATTGAACGAAGAAGTTTATTGACATTTCGGTTGTCTTTTTAAAAATTAGGGCCTGCATAAATTAAATGAAATATCGTGTTGAGTTCTACCGTTATGCCGTACAACGTCAAAATCGTACTTATCACAAGTCTGTGGCGCCCTTTAGATCTAAAACGCCGCCGTTCTGGGAATGTCTGTTTGTTGCGCTTTTTCGCCCTGCGAAACGACGCTTCACGGCGTTTATCTCGCAATCGTCTTACTTAAAAGGAGATGAAAAACCGGCCAGCAGCTGGGAAACATAGCTGAAATAACGTGTGATAAAGACCGTAGGAAATTCTTGTACAGCGAGGTGTGTTTCTAAAGAAACCGAGGTTTCGTAAAAAGAAACATACTTGCGTCATTAGGTAGGTGCTCCATGTAGTGAATTTACAGGATACTTGTTAGAAGTTGGCGTCTTTGAATTTTCTTTTCAAAACAATCTAGCTCAAATACAACCAAATTATAGAAGCTGTGAAAATCTCTACTCCAAAAAAATTCTACATACAAAATAACTTGATTAACGCAATTTACCTGAAAACAGTCAATAGCACAAAAAGGGATCTAAAAGATCCTAGCGCCATCTATGAGATAATAGAAGAACACAAAAATAAATCTACTTTGAGAAGAGTTAGTATTTTGCTCTGCTAGATGGCGCTAGGATCTTCAATCCCTTGAGTGAGTTATTCCACCTAGCACCATCTATGAGACTGTTGCACTACCAAACGCTAACTCTTTTCAAAGCAGTTTATTGTAGAATACGTTATTCAATGCTTATAGAACAGACAGGATTTCGGATATCTATGACAAAATAAACATAAATTCAAAATAACCAAGGTTCCTATAAAAGCCCTCAAATACAACCATGATTAGAGGCTTCAAGGACTAGCCAAAACGAAGCCTAGAATTTTTCAAAATGTTCTACAAACATTATCTATTGTGTATGCCCAGAAATAGCCGGGAACTTCAAAAATGCACAAAAAATGACAAATATTTCTGTAAAGACTGCGTCTCCGAAAATCCTTCAACCATGCCTCAAATTATCAAAAATAAACGAAGATAAATTTTAAAATTAGGTAAAAGTACAGCTTGATCTAAATGCCGCACAAAAAATGATAAATGTCTACTTAAAATCTGGGTCTCCGAAAACACTTCAAGTACGCCTTAAATTACCAAAAATCTACGAAGGCGAATTCAAAAATTATACAGGAGAGAGAAAGGAAAACTCATAAAATTCGCAAATATCATTTACCTTACCTACTAAAACTTAAGAAGCACAAGCATACAAGAGTTATTGCTCCTTATGCCATATGAATCGCTTACTATATCTTAAGCTTTTCCTTTTGATATTTTCCAAAAGCATTTCTGATATCCTCACCTTCAGAAATTCTGTGTAATTCTTAATTTTACAATTGATATCAATTTTATACAATGCAAGCGACAGCACCGCTACAATGTGAGGTCTTATAAATAAATTGGCAATAACTCAGAATATACACATAAAAGTGCAATTTAGGTCTATCAATATGTACAATTATAGCAAGTATAGACAGCATGCCCTGCATATTAATCGCATTCGTACTTATTGAATCACTTATTCTAACTGCGTTTTGCGACCGTATTCGTACTGTTGTCCGCCATGTTTCAGATTCCGAGGAGATCGATTTACATCAATGTTACATTCGAAATAACGAGTAGACTCGTAAATCAGAAAAATTCTCGTCGGGCTGGGAAGATTTTTCTAAGCGATGCACCAGCAATATGGAACTTAAATATCGGTATAATTATTGGACAAGTAAACACTCTCTTGGAAATATATGCGATGCTTATGCCCTTTGAAAATAAGTTTTTTTGTTTACATAAAACTTCTTTTTAAAACCTCTAATAAGATTTTATTCACCTAAGGACGTACAGGACTCAAAGACGTACAGAAATCAAATTGTTCTACCATATTTTACAGAAGGTATTCATATCAAGATACAAAGGAATGCTATTTTTTAGCTTAGAGTACAAACAAAATCATATCTCACAATTTCTCAGATAAAGGACGTATAGCGTTAAGTGGGGCATGCTAGCATGTCTACGACATTAAGAGGGGTAGCTGGCCTCTTAACTTTGAATTGCTCTAACGGAGATGACATGTACCTTAACTCAGCTTGCCTCCATAAGTCCTCCTCAATATTGCCGCATTTTAGACGTGCTAGACTGCCCTGTCGAGAATGTGCTTCTCATACTCACATCTTGAACTGACTAAAGACGACCAACCATTTTTTTTTTAGAATTTTTTTATAATCAACCAGTCGCGTATGCAATAGCGGGATCACACTTAAAGACTTAAAAAGGCCTTGATAATGCAATTTTTGAACTGCTATGGTTGAAGGGATTGGAAAAACCCCCTTAGGCAGATTGTTTCAAATTGTTCGTTATCCCTGAATAAATAACCTAGCTTTTCACCGGCAGCTGTTGCGATTGACGAGATATCTTCGTGCCGTTAATTTGTATTCGTCAAATTGATTTTATGTCTTCTGCTGCTCATATAGGGATAGTTTGAGCATTTATTATAACATTAAATATATTTGGGGATTTTGAGGTACATTTAGCTCATGGTTTATGCTCATCTGGATTATTTTGTTTGGCAAGCATTACTTATGAACGTATAATGAGTCGATGTTTTTATACAGCTGAAATAAAGGGCTTTTTGACATCGAATGTGAAACTATTTGCCAGAAGAGGCCTTCCCTAATTCTAATATCCTTAGGTGCCTTCAAAATTGACTTAACTAGATTTGCTTCACATCTTTATGGCAGTCACTTTATCTCGGTAGTTAGGTTCTGTCTTCGCGGCTCTATCGTAAAAAATGCAGTGCGATTATACTACGTACAGTATGCAGGGTGTTTCAGAACTATGGGATCAAACTTTTAGGGGTTATTCAGTGTAACAGTAGAAAATATTTGAGTATAGGGACACATATCAGGCGCTTGTGTGTTGTTATCTTTAAAAACGATAACTGAGATTGTTTTTTGTAGCTGCATTCCATATCGTCTTAGTCATGCTATCGTATTTGTGAAGCTTGCAAGAATTTAACAAAAATTAATTGTTGAGAACGTTATCCCGAATGACAGCATCCGGGATACAAAAAGTTTATTGCTATTCATCGGCGGCTCTCCGAGACGTGCATGTTTAAATCCAACATGCACGATACTGGTGTTGCTCGAGCAGAAAGAACGGTCGAATTTGAAGAAGAGGTCCTTCAGCGAGTCGCTGACGAACCATCAAGTAGTACACGTCACATTGCTGAGGATATGAATACGAGTAACGCTTCCGTCTGGCAGGTGCTTCACGAGCAACAACTTTATCATTACCACTTCCAGAAAGTTCAAGGATTGACTGCAGTCGATTATCATCCTAGAGTTCAATTTTGTCAATGGCTTCTTCACCAAATCGCTGCACAACCAAATTTTTTACGCCATGTTTTATGGACCGATGAAGCCTATTTCACAAGAGACGGTATTTTTAATAGTAGGAATAGCCACGTTTGGGACAAAGAAAATCCCCATGCAATTTTTCCCAGAAAACATCAGCAACGTTTGTCTGTCAACGTATGGGCAGGCATTTGATTGGGCCATAGGTACCTTCTAACGGAACGGTTAACAAAACCTATTTACTGGCGTTTCTAGGAGGAAGTTCTTCCAGAACATCTTGAAAATGTTCCATTGAACGTTCGGGGTGCGACGTTTAAATCGGTGTATTCAGGTTAGAGGAAGACATTTTGAACAATTGTTGTGTTGATATCATATACAAAAGGCAAAAATTAAATGTATTAAATCCTATTTAGGCAATTTATCGTCTTTCTAAATTTTAACGCGTCTTACTGCCGTAGTGACACTTTTCCGGATATTGGTCCCTATACTCAAATGTTTTCGACTGTTACACTGAATAACCAATTGAAGTTTGATCCCTTAGTTCTGAAACACCATGTATAACTATGAAGATATAGAGAACGGTATTCCTAAATGACCTTGAATAGTAATGGCCTGCAAGGATGTCTAAAACGGACACACCCTTTTGACCCAATGGCTCTTCAAAAGAGCCTGCCCTAAATTCGGTCGCAGACATTTGTATAAACCCTTCCCCTTTCTTAAACCCTCCTATTGCCCTACCCACTATGTTCATTAATTCACAGGCTTTAGAACCCATCCGGGTACCATAGCTCAGAATCTAGAATTTTCATGTATGTACCAAAATTTTACAAACAAAAGTTATCATCGTATTGGTTACGATTCTAGAAATAAAAACGAATGTTGTGAACTGGGATCGTATTATTAAAAAACGGCAGCTTTGCTGTTAAGTAATTGATAACTACACGTCCGATAAACAGAGAAATAATATTTTTCATTATGTCTAGTAACACAATAAATACGAAATAAACTGTACTTAGTAGAAAAAATACTGTGTACATGTAGTGTACAAGTTCATTTCGATAATTTAAAGCGGAAAAGGCAAGCAGCTCATTAGATATTGATCCTGAAACATTGCGTCGCTATAAACATTTTTTTATCGACTAAATGAATTTGTTAATTGGGGATGTACGGTAACCAATGAGTCATGTGGTCAAATCATTTATTTTATTGCAGTTCAAGTTGTTTAATTTTGTAGTACTCGGGCCTGACTAACTGTAACATACCTTATCGGTTTATTAGTGCAAATATCAAACTTACCTTGCAAGGCAGAACTGGAAGGTATTAAAAACTAGTGTTTTTTTGGAGATGTAGTAATATTTCTGCATTTGTCGATTTTGTTGTTTATTAAATAATCAGTTAATTATATAAATTCATTTTTTGCCGAGACTCATTTTTTCGTTAGAGCTAGGCACTATCTCGTGGGAACATTTTATCCATCAAAGTACTGTATGCCTTTTATGACATACAGATAACTACTGACTTAATTGCCCAATTGTCACAATATGCGCGACTATTTACAACATATCAAACTCAAAATGCATCAACTATCTGATAGATTATCATTAGTTGGAAGATAATAATCCATCTAATTGCCTGGAATCCATAATAAAGCTTGATCTTCTCTCAAACATCCCAGAACATTTAGTCGTCCTTCCGGGATTTTCGATATTTACTAATAAGCGAGATAAGACTCATCCACTTCATATTTTCAAACCCCAGTGGTGACGATTATCGTGCCAAACATCTCTCAGCTCTCATTTACCACAACACTACTATAAAAATTATTTCTAGTTCTTTGCAATCCACGGTATTTACGTCATTGACATTCCGCTTTGTAGCTTTCCAAGTAAATAAAAATAAAAAATAACATTTTCTTAAACGTCCGCGAATCTGAGAAGAAACATAAAGTTCAGCTCTGCGGTTTTCCCACGATCCCCATAAAATTTTACGAGGTGCAGAACACTAAGGTGGAAATACATCCTAGTATTAAGCAAAACAACTTATCATTCTCACAAAGACAACTAAAATGTATATATCATTGTGGTAGAATTTAAGGCACTGTCTTTTAGAAAGATATACTGTTAACCTGCTTTTTGGTCGGCTGGAGTTATTTAGAGGGAAAAGCATTGCAGCCCTTAAACATAAGAAACACTTAGCTGTCATTATACATGTTATAAAACTAGTGACCTTAACATTTTGACATCTTGTTATTTCGGGCATACATATACAATATAGACGTTGAATAATATATTAGGGCTATATGACACGATATGATATTTGATTAGAAAACTTGTACTAGAACTGGCAACCTGGTAAAATGTTTACTTCAAATAAGTGCTGGTATGCTGAGTTTTTTTAATGCCCAGCTAGTCTCGGTAGTGCAGATTTGACAAGCTACATTGTCATTTTGCCGGGTTGGCGGTTGCCATGAAAAAATTAAACTCAAATTTTGTAACACATTTCATTTCATGTCATATGATACTTGCAGCATCAAAAAGTAACAAATATTGAAAACAGAATGTACTATGGAAACACAATGTTGAGGTAATGTAAAAGTTATTTTATCCGTAATACAGTGACGCACCTTTAACTACAGCCTAATTTTGTACTTTCAATTTTATTTGTCCAAAAAGCTTTAGGTATACTTCTCTAATAAAAGTTATAACAATGACTCAATTTCTGAGCATATTAATCGTTATACTTTTTGCTAAGATACAGGGTGGCCCATAAGTCCTTTGAGCTGCAAAAAAAGGAATAAAACGAAACTAGTTACATTATGAAGAATTATTATATTTTGTTATCATCTTTATTGAATGGGAATTATGTTTTAAAAATCACATCGTCTAAATGCAATCCATTACGATCACGGCACTCATATAAACGACGTCTAAAATTGTCGATGACTGCGCGGCAAGTCAACACTGTAATGCTTGCCATTTATCTTCGGATATTTTCTTTCAGGACATCAACTGATCGCGGAGTGGTGTCGTACACTCTATTCTTGAGGTAGCCCCATAAAAAGAAGTCCATTGGGGTCAAATCTGGACTACGTGGTGGCCAGGAAATGTCTCCTCTTCGAGAAATTACTTTGCTGGGAAAAAGTTGACAGACGACGGGCATAGAAGTGTTGGAGGTGTGGGCAGTTGCTCCGTCCTATTGAAACCAGGTCTGCGTATTATAGCCTGGAAAATTCTGCAACGCTGGTGTCAAAAACTCTTCTATCATTGCTACATAGCGCTCCGAAGTAACAGTTAATGCGCGACCTCTGTCGTCCTCAAAAAAATAAGGGCCTACGATGCCATGCGCTGACATAGCAGCCCAAACTGTAACTTTAGGGCTGTGTAAGGGCTTCTGATGCTTACGCCTTGGATTTTCGGGGCTCCAATAACGGCAATTTTGTTTATTTACATGCCCGTTTAAATGGAAGTGAGCCTCGTCCGAGAACAACACATTATTGAGCGAAGAAAATCGATTCAACATTTCATTCGCAAAGTTTAGTCTCTGAATAGCGTCATTATCTTTTAATTCCTGCACTAACTGAATTTTGTAAGCGTGCAGACGTAAATCTTTCCTTAAAATCCGCTGTAAAGATGTTCTGGGTACGTTTAGTGCACTGGAACGCTTACGAGTAGACTGGGTAGGATTTTGACGAACAGACTGTGCCACAATGTTGATGTTTTCTTCAATACGAGTTGTCCTTGGTCGACCCCACCGCTGTTTATCTAACGTCGAACCAGTCTCTTCGAACTTAGCAACCCAGTTCTTAATCGTTTGAGCTGTTGGACACTTTGTAAAATTGTGTAAATTGTGGTATTCTCGATATTTACGCCGCGCAATGGTTGCCGAATCATTACTTTGATAAAACGCGCGCACACAAAAAGCACGATCCGCTCCAGTGAAACACTCCATGGCGACTGAATTCCCAGACACTGAAGATACCCACCTCGCCCGCGCCGCTCACGCTCACCCGTTAAATTTTATTCAAATTTGAAATTTCAAAGGACTTATGGACCACCCTGTATAATTTATATCGATAAATCAGTTACTGGTTGATTATAGAGTTCCAGACACCACATATTACGTAGATATCAGCAGAGCAAGGTTTCATAGTTGTTTTTTTTTTTAAATAATATGGATTTTTCGTTGTCAGAATGATTTCATACTTAACATCGTTCAAGCATGTAGACTAGATAATAGATAATAGGAGTAAATTTACTAACTAAAAAAAACATAAATGCAAATGGTTATGAAGAGGCTGGAAGACCGGAAAGAGCAATTTACCGTTTGAACTTTTAACAAAAGGTCGATGAACTCAACTATGTTGCAGGACTTTGATTTTTGAGAGGAACTAATATAAATATTTCGAGAGACTTCAAAACAGTTGTGAATTGTACAAATACTTTAGACTAGAGGTTTCTTGATCTAGAACTTAACCTGCTTTTCATCACACGAGTGGGATATTAATGCTGTTCATCCTTACAAAAACTAATACTCTTTACTCCATACGGATATTCTGTGTCATCTATGCATACGTCAAACTAAATGCGTTTAAGCTCGGGCCACGATAAGGCAGTATTGATCAATTACTGAGGCTATTCATTATTTAATCTAAAGTACCTATTTAAATTGATTTAACGTTTATTGACGTTTTTGATACAGTCGCTGAACGCACCAGTCATACGGTAAATATTACACAGGTGATTGGTCTCAAGTTAAAAGGCTTGTAGCAATTTTCTTCTTTATGCAAAACGGCAGCTCCGAGAGGTTGATGAACACCTGTTTGATACGAGATGCTCTGTAATTCCACATGATTGAAATATTTTTTCTTTTTTCTCTTTAGAAAAAACATCCCAGAGTTCTTGGTTGGTTGGTTGAAGCACTGAGCGCGTTCAGCCAGCGTCAAGCGGCTCAAATTACTGTGAAATATCTTTGACAATTCGCGGTATTCAATTACCAAGCTATAAAATCTGCCAAGCCAAGCAAAAACTGTTGTCGAAGTACCAAAAACCCCCTTCAGCATTAAACGGCACAAAATCTCTAGTCCACTTTACATTGGCTGATCGTACTCAGTTTTTTATGGTAGACATAGCGAATATAAAAATGTAAAAATGACCTGTTAACGAAGATTTATTTGATACCTGTATACCAAAATAGAACCTATCACGAAACGAGTAAGTTTATTGTGCAACATTTCCTAGTTGTACGTACCGTTTTCATACGAACGCAAATTAAGTCTCTTTGATTACCCGTAACATAGCAATAACAGTTATTACTAAAATGCAAACTTCATTACCAACATAAATATTGTTAAGGCGAGAATACACATGCCAGTAAAATAGCATGCCAGTGGCCAGTAACTTGTATGCTAACTACTTGTCCTACCACATCCCAAAATACACATGCTAGTTTTGGATATGCCAGTCTTTCCTTTATCTTCTTTAACTCGTGGTGGTAGGTTGTTTTTAGGTTTTTTATCTTATTTTTCATAAATTTCAATGTTAAATTGTTATCAGTCATTTGCTTCAATAAAGACTTGTAAGCATTGTCTCTAGCGATTTTATTTTTATACAATGGAGATCATGTATTCCATAAACACGGATACTCCCTATACTGCATAACAAACAATAAAGTCTTTTCGTCTCCCCAACGAGCCATTTTGCCCGGAACTAAACAAATAGTTCTATAGTTCAAGAATCCGTTTTTCACCTGCGAGTTTCTGGTAACGATGTCGTTCACACACCTTTGAACATGACTCGCATGTTTCCTCCCCTCCATTCCCTCGACGAAATCCTGCTACTGGCACACAAAAATCAAACGTCTTGCGATCTACTGGCGTGCTATCTTCTAGCGTGCTTTCTTGCTGGCAAAGAAAGTCACACATGCAAGTAGCACGCACAATCCAGTAACTGGCATGCTTCTGTGCGTGTAACAAGCATGTGTATTCTCGCCTTTATGCATGCCCACTGGTATTTGAAGCACTTTTTTTTAATATCCTGTGAGTCTACAGGGAGACCTTGACCATGGGTTCAATTCAGTGGATTCGCTACTAAAAATAATTTGACAATTTTCTAGAAAAAGATGTCTCACGGGGTCTGGGTAGATTTCTGGAGGACGCCACATAATATTGTATTTGCTTAAATAGCTTTTCACTGACTATATTAAACGATTATTTGGAATCTCATTATGACAAATCTCTCACTTACATGTCCAGGGACCAAGAATTTGTCAATTTTTAGGTCAACTATTACTTTGTACTGACGAACGTAGCTTGACTTGTCGTAAAGGGAGTCTAAAAATGTATGGTTTTATATTATATTTTTGCTTGATTTGCGATTGTGTGATATATTCTGTGTATCATTTTTTCAAACTCGCAGCATCAGGTATTTTTAACCTGTTTTTAATGCTTTAGTAGACATTTTGTATCACGTGGAGGGATATATCAATGTTTATTTGGTGGTGGATCATACGAGCATACAAAAAGAAACTTTACTTTGCCTCTAAAAATAGATGAAGTACCATTTGCAATTTTCCTAGCGAGATTCGTGTTTATTCTTTATCAACTTTCCTCCAATACTTTTTGAAACATGTCGCTTCAAAGATATTTAAAAATAGATACGGAAGTATTTTTCTTACTGCAAAAGTAAAATGTTACATACTGTCTTCAGTTAAGCACGGTTTCAAAGCTCTGTAAGAGGCAAACATCATTTTGTATCATTCCTTAAAACCATTCCGAGAGTTCTACAGATAAAGTGTTGTATTGCTTACACTCTACAAGTTGGAAATATGAAGCTATGTAAATGTCTTTCGATAAACACGAAGTTTTCCATTTTTTTCGAATACTATAGCTTTGCATTGAAACAAAACTCTCATCTGTCAACGTTGTCGATCGTAGAAAAGTGACAAACATCAGACCTTCCAGAATCATTATCATTGATTCATTATTGTACAGAAAATAGAAAACAATAATATTTTTCAGTGGCATTCTTTAGCATCTTAGCTCTTTACAGTCCCTCAGAACATTTTTTGAAGAACCCTTATATATATATATATAAAAATAGTGATTTTAGGATGTCTGAAGATGCACGTTATGTTCTTTCTTAAAAAAATCGCTTTGTCAACAATTCACAAATCAACACAATTTTTTTATGTTATTAATATATTATTATTATTATAATTTTCAACATACTATCATATAATAATAATATCAATACTATAAACATGCCACCATATCAAACAGCATTATTTATGACAAAAGAATAGAACACCTAAGCTATAAGCTTGTGTATGTCACACAATATAGAAATTCAATGCATGGCTAATGGACATAAAGTGTATTATGAGCAAATGTACCTATATAGAAAATAAGAAATAAAAACATTAGATAGAAACGAAATGACTGGGTTGAGTCAAGCTACAATCGATGCAAGCATGTCAAAGTTATTTAAGATGAACTTCTTAATTCTTTTTTTGAAACTATACTTCAAGAGGATTTTATACTCTAAGGGTAATTTATTATACAACCTAATAGCATCAATTTTATGCATCTTTGGCCAACAGATTTATTCACTCTGGTATAAGTGTAACTTATATTGATTTTAGTTCTTGTTTCGTAAGCGTGGCTGGTTGGAACATTGTTTCTGGAGTGAACAAATTTCAGAACAGCAAAAATATATGAACCTCTAACATTCAAAAGATCATTTTCAATGTAAACGAATCTGCAACTTGACCTACAATCTATACTTATCCCGTAAGTTAGAAGAGACCCCGCAAACGAGTTATACGTATATTGAGAGAAGACTCTTTCTGCTTAAAATGTTCCTAAGAATGAAAAACTTATGAATAATTCGCCTTAATTTCGATGCCAAAAGCTCGGCATGACTCTGCCATTTTAAATTACTGTCAACAATGATTCCTAAGTATCTAATAACTTCAACTATTTCGACAGTGTCAGAACTATCATTTATAATTAATGTTCGGTGGTGTAATGGCATGCCCGCTTTGGTAGGAGAAAACGTCACATACTTAGTTTTAGAGATATTAAGTTTAAGTAAATTGCTATCCAACCAGCATTTGATTTCATTCAATGACAACTCGGCATTCCGTATTGCGTCATCCCATGAATGACCAGTGCAAACTAAAACAGTATCGTCTGCATATGGTATCATTTTACAGTTGAAATTGCATCGAAGTAGTTCATTTATGTGTATGAGGAACAGCGTTGGCCCCAAAACCGTCCCGTGAGGCACACCTATTTTGATCTTTTGAATGCTGCTTAAATCTGACCCTACCTTAACAATCGATCTGCCAAATAGCTCTCAAATAAGCTCAGAACTCCACTACGCACTCCAACACGTTCTAGTTTCTTTAATAAAATTGTATGAGATACTGAATCGAAAGTCTTTTGAAGATCTAGAAAAACTGCAACAGTCTTATTTCCATCTTGGAAATTTTCGAGCACTTGTCCTATAAGTTCTTGTAGATATTGCTTTGTATTGCAATTTATGCGGAACCCAAATTGACAGTTCGATATTATGTCATATTTCTCAAGAAAAGAACAAAGTCTGCTATTCAAACACTTCTCAAAAATCTTACCAAATACATTGATAACTGAAATAACTCTATAATTGAACATATTGTCTTTACTTCCAGATTTAAATACTGGTGTTACTATGCTTTCTTTAAATTGGCGAGGAATTACTGAGGATTTGAATCAGAGGTTGATAATGTGAGTTATGTGATAGTTTTAGTGTGTAAGCCATCTGATCTGGGTGGGACATTATTTTTCAAATTACAAACTATTTGCTGTAACTGTATGTTATCCACTGGAGATAGAAACATAGAGTGAGAAATTTTGACGACATGAAGATCTGATGTATTAAGAATTGAGTTTTGATCAGACTTGTTATTTGCTCACCTATATCAACAAAATATTTATTAAAAACACAGGCTATATCAGCGGGAGCATCCAGCTTCTGACTATTGTGATTAATTGATTTTACGTCATTTTTTTAAGTTTTGCCAGCATTAGTTACCTCATTAATAACATCTCAGCTTCTCCTATAGTTATTACTTGCTGAAATGAATTTTTGTGTGTAACATTGATTTTTAGAGATCTAAGATTAGTTACTCTGTTTTTGTAGGAGATATAGGACTGTCTCAATATCAAATTATCATTCTCTTTCGTCAAACTCTGTTTCAACTCATCCCTCTTCTTGATCGAAGTAAGAATACCGTCAGTCATGCACGGCTTGAGTTTTTCTGGTCTTACTATTTATTTTTTAAATAATACGTTGAATAATGTATATGCCTTTATATAATTCATGATAGAAGTTATCAGTTGCTTTTTGGACATCGCTCTCTGAAAGAACACTGTCCCAAGTCACCACTTGCAAATAATCTGTCAACCTTTTCTCATCAATTCTCTTAAATTGCGTACCAGAATTGCAATAAATTGCAAGTACACTCCGGTGTTGGTTACCTGCGCAGTTCATAAACACCTTCGATAAATTACTTAATATTACGCCAAAGACGTAAACAGAACCCGGTAGTGTTACTCAAAACTGGATCGGTCGATTCTCACACATGCGTTATCACAACTATACTTTGTTTATACTTATCTGGAGCTGACTTGGTCACGTTCCTTGAACGATTATCGCTGAACCATTGTGAGACCGTTGTTACCAAATCGTTAAACAAATGCCTAAATTGCCTCTAGGTAACGAGCTCGAAATCAGCACGTCTCATGGTATCGCCAGAGAGTCGTTTTCTCATTGTTTCCGATGTGTTACATTTTGATTAATACTAAGTGACCAAGCAAATTTGGAATCATTATAGTTTGTCCCGCTACTTGCGCATTATTACAGGGTGGCCAATACAAAATTTAATAACTTGTTGCTGAAATATATAAAATGTGAGGGA